AGACAACATCCCTGTCTGAGCTGCACAAGGCTGTTCAGCTTTGAATAAACTAAGGCAGTCCCATATCCCACACTTGAAATTAAAGCAAAAACATATTTACATAAACATAACTAAATTTAAAAAAAAAAAAAAAAAACAAACTTCCACTGCACTCCTAGAAGCCACATTGTAAAACCAGGACGGCCTTGAGTCAGAGATTCCTTTGTCTCTGCCTCCTGAGTGCTAGGGCTGGAGGCCATCTTTAAATACTGATCATTTTATTATTGTTACTATTGTAATTACTGCTGCTTTGAGACAAGCTGTCAAACGCCAGCCCTCTTCCCTCTGAGCCACAGCCCAGTCTTTTCTTGGGCTTGTTGAAGATCAGGGCCTTGGCACACAGTGGGATTCTGGGCAGCAGCCTTCTTCCCCAATTGTCCAGCCTTGTTCCCATGGGACTGCTGGATGTGCCCAGCCCAGACTTCCCTGCATTCATTCCTTCAATCTGTCCTTCTTTCCCTCCCTCCTTCCCTCTCTCCTTCCTTCCCTCCTTCTTTCTTCCCTTCCTGCTTTCCTTTTCTCCTTCCTTTTTATCTTTTGTTTGTTCTTTGTAACCTACAAGTTTAATCCTCACAGCTCACAGCTGCACCACTGGGGGAACCCCTCTCCCCCACACTATCTGGGCCTCTGCAGGAGCCCTGGGCCTTCCTTAGCCCTGTGTTTAAGCTCTCCCTGGTGGAGGAGTTCGTGTGTGTGCACATGGAGGCGGTCAATATGGGGCCTTCTTCTTTTGGTTTCCACCTTGGTTTTTGAGGCTGAATCTGTCCCTGAGCCCAGAGCATTCCAACTGTCTGGGTGGAGCCCAGGGACCCTCTGGTTTCCCCCTGACCCCCCAGTGCTGGCATGCACATTACATCAGTTTGGGGATTCGAACTCAGGTCCTAAGGCTTGTGGGGAGATTGTTCACACTGAGTATGTCCCATACTGGCTTCTTGGGAGCTTTGCCCCACAGCTGGTTGGAGGCCGTCAGGGAACCTCTGGAATATGAACCCGGCTTTGGGTGGTGTAAGGTTGGCCCAGACCCTTGGGGAGCTGGCAAGGTTCTGCCCGCCCTGAGAGGCTGCCAGAGCCCAGAGAGCTGAGTTGAGTGTGACCTCCACCCTGGGTTTGCACACAGGACTCCCCAGGGTCATGTCCAAAAGAAACGATTTCTCCAAACCTCAAAGAGCTACCCAGATACCCAGAAATGGCCTCAGTCTGGACTATAAAGGATTTCTTGTGGGGAGATAAAAGCCAGCATTTCTCAAGAATTTGGGAAACTATTTCCATCTACCAAAAGGAGCCATTTCTCTTTCTCTGGCAGAAGGGTCATAGCTAGCCATGGCTAAACCTATCAGCATATCAAAGTACGTGTGTCAGAGTAACTGTCACACATCCACAGGCCTGGTAGCCCTTCTCACCTTCTTCCCCACCCTACACTCCTTCAAACTCACAGGCCTCCCTCCTCCAGCTCATTCGCCTCATAACCCTGCTATTTCAGCCATTTGCTCTGTCTCCCTCTGACACTCTCTGTCTCTCTCTGTGTCTCTGTCTCTCTCTCTCTCTGCTCTTGTTCTCTCACTCTGTGTTCTCTATGTCCTGCTGTGCTCTCCTCTCTCACAGATAGCTCTGGCCGTGTCCAGCCTACTGCTTCCTCTCCATGCTCTGGACAATGGAAACCTCGGCCTTAGAACATACTGTGGAGTGGTCACGTTGTCTGTTTACCCACTGGGCAGTCAGAGAAAGGGTGGGTGCAGGGGAGCCGGTCCACTCCCAGTGTCCTGGAACATGGGGGTCACAGCTCCTTGGAACATGATGCCTCTGGCTCAGTCCAAGGCCCCACCCTGCCTTTGGGGACAAGGCCAGGGGCTCTGTTTTCTCTTTCTGGGTGTTTTGAAGAAATCACAACAGAAGATGCAGGGTTGGCAGGGGGTGTCCCAGGTGCTGGGCACCGGGTCAAATGCTACCCTTCAGCAAAGCCTCTGCCTGTGAGGCCAGCCCCTAAAGCACATGAAATGACACACACCATAGTAACGAATAAGATCGAAGAAACAAACTAGAAAAATAGGGGTTCTGGGAGAGACTGGGTGGGCAGACAAGAGAGGTGCTGCGGGAGGTGACAGCCAGAAAAAGACAGGAGCCCAGAGACGTCCAGGTGGGGGATGGAAAGGAGTCTCCCTTAAAGAAGGTGACAGGTCGGCAGGAGGCAATCTGGACAGTGCAGGTGTGCCCCGGAGCAGAGGCCCTGCGGCGGGGGGGGGGGGGGGGGGGGGAGCAGCAACCACGGAAGGAAGTAGCCCCTGCGGCCCTAGGCTCCTTGGCAGCGAGCCAAAGCCCTGGGTGGGTCTCCCTTCCTCCTCGTGGGTCCCTCCCTCAGCCTTCTGCTGGAGTGACCCTTGTGCCTTCTTCCGGCTGGAGTCGGGAGAGCTCACATCCACGTGTCCTTGTTTGTAAACTGTGATGAGTGAACAGAAAGCGTCCCTAACCCCCACATCCAGACCTTTCTGAGGTACACAGTCGGTGCTTAATGGATGATAATAAAGAAATAATCAGAGGTGCTCAGTGCGTGGCCCTTGTGTGTGAGCTTGTAATGGGCTACATTCTATGAAGTAAATGCTTCCTTCTTCCAGGAAGGGAAAGAGGCTGGGAACGGTAGACAGGGCTGGTGGACAGGGCTACACTCCCATGGCCCTCTTAAGCATGGCAGGCGGGGCTTGGGGCGTCTGAGATAACACAAAACAAGGAGGAGGGTCCTGGATGAGAATGGGCGTGGCCAGACAGGGGCCGAGCGGGGCTGGGCAGGGTCTGCCAAGCATTGGGCGGAGCATGGCTCCAGGAAAGCGAATTGCCCTGTCGCTGGTAGACTGGGGCCGACCTGGTATCCATGCTCAGCATTTCAGGGGCTTATGAGGAAGGGAGGTCATTGCCCAGGCCTGGGTGTGGATGGACGAGGCTCGGGGCAGAGCTCGGGGCGGGGACTGGATGTCAGAAAGAAGTTCTGGAGGGTGTGGCCTGAGGCAGGGCCAGGCGGGGGTCTAGGTGGGCACGTGGGCAGCTACCGGGAGGGGCTTTGGAAGGTTCAGGGCGAAGCTGCACTGGAGGGCATGCTGGGGTGCATGACCTGGGTCCCGGTGGGTTGGGGCGAGGTGATGTTTGGGGGCGTGTCTGGGGCGGGCTGGGTCCCAAGAAGGACCTGGAGGTGGGGCTTTGGAAAGCTCGGGGGCGGTGTGTAGAGGGGTGTGCCTTTTAGGGGCGTGGCCAGAGAATGGCGAGGCCAGGCCTGGGGTCGAGGCGTAGCGGTGCGCGTGGGGCTCCGCGGGACCCGCCGTGCAGCGCAGGAGCGGGCTCTGCTGCTCGGGGGCGTGGCCAGGACGTGGCCGCGCAGGCCCAGCGTTAGGGGGCGGGGCCGGACGGGCGGGCGGGGCTCGGCGGTCCGTGTCCCCGCTAGTCCCCGCCGCCACGGTCCTAGTGAACGCATCCCGCCATGGAGCAGCCGCGAAAGGCGGTGGTGGTGACCGGTAGGTGCGGCTGGGCCGGGGACGGCGGGAAAGGCGCTTGCGGTTGCTTCAGTTTTGCAGTTGTCGCCGCCCGCGACAGCACCGTTCGGCCCCGGCGACCTGAAATGTCCGGGATTCCGCGGCCCGGAGTTAGGGGTCCCCGGGGACTGGGGTGCAGACAGGTCCCCTCGCGCGCTGCAGCCCCTCTCCGCCCCTCCAGAGCTCCGGCCTGTCCCCACCTGCTGCCCCCGGGGACAAAGGCGGGTTTACGGCCAGGAAAAGTCCCGGTGACACACGATCCGCTCAGCCTCCACTCTTGGCACCCTGCATTGTTGGGGGGCCTGCAACCCAGTTTGGGGCAGGTGTTGGGCCTACATCAGCCTGACTCCAGAATGACCCAGGGATTCTTGAACCCAGTTCCTACTATCATCAACACCCCCTGAAGCCAACTGTTCTTATTTCCTGAGACTCAGTCTAGGCCACTTGGTGGAGTCAACTCCAGCAGGCCTTGGAGGAGGGCACTCTGCTTAACCTCTGCTTGGAGAGGCCACAGCGAGCGGCCCAGGAAGACTCCTACAGGTGTTTTGTAACGGGGAGGTTGGGGCTGTAACACCCCCGAAAATGGAGAAGGCCGCGCCCTGCGGGACAGCTGTAATCCCCTGTGTGTGGCTGGTTGTTTGGTTGGTCTCATTCTATCGCTGTGTCCGCTACCGACCTGGAACACCTGTGACCCAGGCCGGCTACAAATTCAGGGTGATTGTTTCCAAATGTGGCATGTGCCACAATGATGAGGTGCCCCCAAGATGTGGCCTCTACCTGCTGTCCTGAGGTATGGTGGCCCTCTTAACACAGGCAGCAGGTGAAACTGGGGGGGGGGCATAGAGGAGTGGGGGGGTGGAGGAGCGGGGAGGGGGTAGGTCAACCGTTGGAGTCATTTCTCAGGCTTTACTCTACTTGAGTTTGGAGAAACTTTCATTTGGAACTCATTCAGGCAGTCAACCCTTTCACAGGGGTTGCCTAAGACCATGGGAAAATACAGTTATTTTACATTATGATTCATAACAGTAGCAAAATTACAGTTACTGAGTAGCAATGAAAATAAAGGGTGGCAGCATTAGGAAGCCTGAGACACACTGCTCTAAGGCCTGCCAATTAGAGTAGGTTGACTGGCTATGAGCCCTGGGCTCTGCCTGTCTGCTTTCCCAGTCCTGGGACACAAACCTGGGCTGCCGCACTGTGCTTGAATATGGTGCTGGAGATCTGAACTCAGGACCTTGTGTGACAAACAAACTGAGCTATCTTTCTGGCTCTATTTGTTTATTTTGAAGCAGGGTCTCGTGCGGCTGGACTGGCCTGAAACTCAAAGTTCTCTTGGGGCAGCCTCTGGACACTGCCTGAGGCCACATAGCTCCCGGCTCTGGGTTCTCACACCTGCAGTCCCATCATCCAGAGCTAGGAGCCAGGTGGGCTGGTTTGGGTTTTTCTCTTTTGTTTTCTCAATGTTTTTTTCAACCCAGTGGCTAGAGAGGGAGGCCAGTTTACTCAAGCAGGATTTGAATCCCAGCCTCTCCACTCTCTCGCTGTGTGGCCTCGTCACATTAGCTCCCTCTGACTGCTCAGTCTTTGCCCATGACAGGTAGGCCCTGGAAACCCTGTCATCAGAGGGGACGAGCCAAATGACACAATGCCTCTGGAGTCTGTCTTGGTCAGACATGGGCCTGAGGTTGAAATGATCAGAAACAGCTGGTGTCCAGGTAGCCCTGTCTGGAGAGACCCCAAAGCCTCCAGAGCTACCCCTCAAGGGGTAGCACCTGATGGCGGCCCACAGCCTGGTCTGCCCCAGACACTGAGGCTGGAGAACAAAGTGACTGGAGAGGCTCTGTCTCTCTGGGTGCTCCCAGGTGTCAGGTCATAGGGGGGACAACGAAGCCAGTACCTGTCATTCCAGCACTCAGCAAGTGGAGGCCGCTGGCCCACAGCTGGAGCACACCTGGAAGGAATGGGTGAGAAACTAGGATGAGGATATGTCGGGGTGACAAGGTTCTAGAACGCTGAGGTGGGAAGAGAGAGTAACGTCTTTTCCTGTTTTCAGGGTTCGGCCCTTTTGGGGAGCATACTGTGAATGCCAGCTGGATCGCTGTGCAGGTAATTCTGATCTGGGGGAGCCTAGCCTGGAGCTGAGTGTCTTTCCATGTGTTTAAAAACAGCGCAAACATCTCAGATGCAAATCCATTCTTGAGTGCTTTTTATTTATTTTTATTTTTTGACTATTTTTGTAAGCTTAGATCTCATTGTATAGCCCAGGCTAACTTCAAGCTCATGATCCTCCTGCCTCAGCATGCTCTAAGTACTAGAACCACACCATTGGCCTGCTGTTGTGGCACACACCTTTAGTCCCAGCACTCTGGAGGCAGCAGTCTGGAGGTCTGTGAGTTCAAGGCCAGTGTGGTCTACAAAGAGAGTTCTAGGCCAGCCAGGGCTCCACACTGAGACCCTGGCTAAAACAGGGTCTAAAACAAACTAACTTGAGAAGTTTGGGGCATCCTGGCCAGCCGCTACTCCTGCTGAGGCTGGGGAGCAGATGGGCACCATGGGCAAGGGCGCAGCCCTGGGTAGGAGGCAGGGCCCTCGGCCTCAGCTTCTGTGCTGGGAGCCTGCAGTGGGGGCGGGAGGGCCTGCAAGAGCCTCATCCAGGGAGCCACCCTACTAACTTGTGTTTCCTGGCCAGATGGGACATTGAGACAGACAGGCCAGGGAACAATTGAGTGGAGAGAGACAGACGTTTAATTCTTCGATAAATCAGCTGGAGAGATGGCAGCCGGGCCCGGATTAATTTTAGCCCATTAGCCCTGTGATTTAAGGGTTCCCTCCTCTCACCCCCCCATCAGCTTGTCACCCTCCCTCACTACAGACCTCAGAGAGCTCAGCCGCTCTGCCACCGCCCCTTTTCTCTCCCACCTGCACTCTGCAAGCCCGACAGAGGACCCCAGGGTCCCCAGGACCTTGCAGATGGGAGTGTGGCTGGGGCCCCTACTTGCACACCCGCTCCCTGGAGCCCCAGACAAAAAGAACCAGTATGTCTCTGAAGACTTGTGTGTCTGGCTTTGTGCAAGTTACAGAAGGGAGGCTTCACGGGCTGAGTGGACACAAAGCCAGTGTCTGGATTCCTGGGCCCCAGACAACACCATCTGCATGTAAATGGGAAGGAAAAATCAATTAAACAATCTTTGGGAATTCCCTTGGAGCTTTGGGGCGCCAAGGGGGAACTTCGTGCTGCACAGAGATCCAGGCTGTTCCTCATCTTACTCCTTGAACTTTTCCACTTCTTTATGCGTTTCTTCATTGTGTGGAACCGCATGCATGTGGAGATCAGAGGGCAGCTTGCTGGGCTGGCGTCTCTCCTCCCATGAAGTGGTCCCCAGGATGGGTCCTGGCTTGCCAGGCTGGGCCACAAGCTCCACTGCCCTGGAGCTCTCTCCCCAGACCTTACTGTTTTGTTGCTGTTTTGTTTTGTTTTTTAAGGCTTGAGACAGGGTTTCATCCTGGCTGACCTTGAGCTCCCGATCCTCCTGCCTCAGCATCCCCAGCTCGGGGTGACAGGTGTACACCATCATGCCTGCCTCCTTTGATCGCTTGATCAAACTGATTGATTGGTTTCCAGTCAGGACCTTACTCCCTAGTCTTGGCTGGCTTCAAACTAAAGGTGCTTCTCCTGCCTCAGTTTCCCGAATGCTGGGATCACAGAGGGCACTCTCCCTCCCAGCTTTTCTTTATTTCCCCCCAGGTCTGGAGTGTCAAGGGCCAGGCAGGCTGCCTCTGGCTGGTTTCTGTAGGCTGTCCCTGAGCAGGCCACAGACACGGTGACATTCGGGGATAATTACTGCCACCAGAGTCTAGACAGACCTGCTAAGGGTACCAGCAAACAAAGAGGGCTTTGTGGAGGGGTCGAGGGAATCAGTCAGATGCAGTCCTGCCTGCTTTTGCAATGGGGGCTTTTCAGGTAGGCGACCAGGGACAATGCTGCAGCTGAGGCTCCTGCCTGGTGCTTTCCAGGCTGTTGGGTGTCAAGCCAGGATGCAGGGAGTGCGCTTTGAGGCTCATGGCCCCCTTCTTCAGGAGAGCTGGGATCAGCTGTGCAGAGGAAAGGCAGAGGCAGGTGAAGGTGACACCTTCTTCTGCCTGTCCGTCCGTGCCAGCCATAGAGTCCCCATAGAAAGCAGAGTGTCAGCTTAAAGGGCCTGTGTGTCCAGGAGGCTCCTGGCCTTCCCAGGGGTGGACAGTAGACACCCGCTTGCACCTCAGGCTTCCTGTGTGAAGAAGCCCTGTGTTCCAGGCTGTTCATCCTGTCCATACCTGAGTCTGCCACCTGAGGGCGAGCCCTACCCAGGCAGACTCCAGCTGTTGATTTGGTGTGCATGGGTTTCTTTTGTCTGTTTTTTTGAGACAGGTTCCTCTGTGTAATCCTGGCTATTCTGGAACTCGCTCTGTAGACCAGGTTGATCTTGACCAAGAGCCTCTCCTGGCCTTGTCTCCTATGTGCTGGGATTAAATGTCTGTGCCACCATACCAGACATTTTGTTTGTTTTTTGAGACAGGGTCTCAAGTAGCCCAGGCTAGCCTCCAACTCACTATCAGCCAAGGCTGACTTTGAATTCCTGGGTCTTCTGCCTCAGCCTCACAAGTGCTGACAGGCATGCACCTTCATTAATATCCTGGTATGTGTCTGTCTATCCAGCTTGCTTCGGATTGTGCCACACATTTAGTGACTTCCATTTGGAACAATGTGGGTTCCGTGGGAACAGCATGAGCCTCTGTAGGCCGGGCAGCCATTCATAGCAGCGCTGCCAGGTTCCCGAGGACCCCAGGGCCATCACAGCTGTTCTCAAGCTGAGGTAACTAGCTTTGATGGCTCACAGCTGCGCTCCCAGCACAGGGAGGCAACAGCAGGAGGATTAGGAGGCCTAGATGGCATGAGAGATAGTGACATCCTGTTCAGAAACAAAAGCAACTGTTTGCTAACATAAGACTTAACTTTTTTTTTTTTTTTTTTTTTTTTTGAGACAGTGTCACTCTCTCAGACTCCATTGCAGGCATGATGGTGCGTGCCAGCTTCAAAACCTGAAGTGCTGTGGTCCCCGGTGCTAGTGAAGGCCAGTCACCTATGGTGGCTTGATATGCGTGCGCATGGGTGGGCGGCCTTGTCCTGTCCTGAGCACACTCCTCAAGAGTTGTGATGCTGGTGAACAGTACTGGCTTCCTCTCTTGATGCCTGGGCCCTGGCTTCGTTTCCTGCTTTTCTTAAATACAGATTTATACGCTGATTCAAATAAAACACACAGGAGTGGGATCACCGGGGCTCATGGGAAACACTGAGAAAGAGTCTGGGTGAGAGGTTATGGAGTGATTTGTTTTACTTATTAGTTGGTGTGTGTGTGTGTGTGTGTGTGTGTGTGTGTGTGTGTGTTTTCAAGGGTTTCTCTGTGTAGCCTCAAACTCACAGAAATCTGCCTGCCTCTGCTTCACAGAGTGCTGAGATTAAAGGTGTGTGCCGCCACCCCTGGCTGGTTTTACTATTTTGTTAGTTTGTTTGTTGCTTTTTTTTTTTTTTTTTAGAGAGAGAGAAAGAGTTCCACTATGTAGGTTTGGCTGTCCTAGAACTTGCTCTGTAGACCAGGTTGGCCTCAAATTCTGAAATCTTCCTGCCTCTGTGTCCCAAGTGCAAAGGTTAAATGTGTACACAGCCACATCTGACTTTTTTGGACAGGGTACCATGTAGCTCAGGCTGGCTTCCAACGCACTCACTCTTTAGCCCAGACTGACTTTGGACTCCTGCCTGGTATACTGTGGGTGACAGGAACATCATGCTGGGCCTTTTCTTTTGTTTGATTTTTGTTTTTTATTAGGTTTATTTTAATTATGCATGTGTGAACACCTGTTGGACAGCATGTATCCATGAGTGCAGAGGCCCAGAAGCCAGGGCCTGGGGCTGGGGACAGGCGAACCACCTGATGCAGGAGCTGAAGCCACATCCTCTGGAAGAGCGGCACGGCTCTTACCGCTGAGCCATCCGTGGTGCAGCCTTTGTTTTGATTTTTGAGATAGTGTCTCAGTAGCCCAGGCTTGCCTGAAACTCACAACAGCCCTCCTGCCCCAGCCTCTTGAATGCTCCAAGGGTAAGGGTGTGTGTGTGTGTGTGTGTGTGTGTGTGTGTGTGTGTGTGTGTACATCCTACTTTGTTAACTAGTGAAGTTCAAAAGGCCATCAAATGCAGTTGCCATGGAGACAGCTTACCCTTTGCCCCTTCCCTACTCACCCAGCAGGTGGCACACTTTCCCAGCCCTAGCACAGTCTGAAGAAACTAGTCCTGTTGGTTATTTATTTATTTTTTTATTTTTTAAAGATTTTATTTGGGGCTAAGGAAGTGGCTCTGCGGTTAAGAACACTGGCTGCTCTTTTAGAGGTCCTGAGTTCAATTCCTGGCACCCACCTGGTGGCTCCCAACCATCACGTGTTATGATGCCCCCCCCCCCCAGTGTGCAGAGCACTCCTACGTTAAACCAAACGACCGACCAATAAGCAAATAAACATTCTATTTATTATGTGTGTATACAGTGTTCTGTTTGCATGCACATCTGCGGGGCAGAAGCGGGCTCCAGATGGCCGTGAGCCCCCACGTGGTGCTGGGAATTGACTCCTCTGCAAGGGCAGACAGTGCTCTTACCCTCTGAGCCACCTCTTCAGCCCCTTCTGTTCGTTTTTAAATTCCTTCAGGTTTTTTGTTTAAGTCTATCATGCTGTTCTGTTGAGACAGGGCCTCCTCGAGCTCCCGCTCTCCCTGCCCCCGCCCCCCAAGTGTTGGGGTGACGAGTGTGCACCCCACACCCGGGTTACGCGGTGCTGGGGATGGGACCCAGGCCTTCCCCGCGAGCTAGTTGATCACTCTACCCACTGAGCCACAAGCGCTGTAACGGCTAGGCTTGAAGCCCAAACCTTTTTGGCTTTTGTTTCTTGTTTATGTGAAGCAGGGTCTCAGGCACTATGTGACCCAGACTGGCCTTAATGTAATTCTTCTGCCTCAGTTTCTCAAGTGTTAAGGCAATTCTCAGCAACAGGACAGCGATTCCTGGCTTAGCCTCCTCACCCCAGTACTGTGTTTATTGCAGAAATGGGTTATTAGGGATCCTTCTCCAGACCAGCCTGTGCTCCAGCAGCAAGGCATTTCCCAGGCAGCCCCGAGGTGGCTTCAAGGAAAATCTACCGATACTCTGGCCACTACTGGTGCTCATTGGTTTGTGTGTAGTTAATACCTTTTTTGAGGAGGAGCAGGTTCTCACGTAGCCCAGGCTGCCTTCAGGTTTTCTGTGTAGCTGAAGACGACCTCAAACTCCTGATCCCACCTCCATCTCCCAAGTGCTGGGGTGAGCGGATTGACCCCCCCCAGGCTGAGCTGCCTGGTGTCTGTAGGCAGGAAGGTCTCTGCAGCCTCGCTCCATGCCCCCACCCCCGCCTTTGCCTCAGGAGCTGGAGAAGCTGGGCCTTGGGGACAGCGTGGACCTGCATGTGTACCAGATCCCGGTGGAGTACCAGACGGTTCAGCGGCTCATCCCCGCACTCTGGGAGAAGCACAGCCCACAGGTGAGTGGCGCTGGGGCTCCCCACCCCCGGCTCAGGCACTGTGAGGAGGCACCACGTCCACTCATAAAGCCCGTATCTGACTTAGGGGCCATGCTCAGTGTCCTGGGGGCTGCGAGCATCATGGCAGGAAGCAGACAGGCTGGTGCTGGAGAGGGAAACAGCCTGGCTTGGGCTTTTACAGCAGCTACATAGCATCTCATTTTGTGACAACAACAAAAAGGACTTACTGTGTTTGCATCTGTGTGCATGGGTGGGTGTCCCTCGCGCTGAGCCCCACCCCTCTGTCCCCAGCTGGTGGTGCATGTTGGTGTGTCCGGCATGGCCACCACAGTGACACTGGAGAAATGTGGACACAACAAGGGCTACAAAGGCCTGGATAACTGCCGCTTCTGCCCCGGCTCACAGTGCTGCGTGGAGGACGGCCCGGAGAGCATCGACTCCATCATCGACATGGATGCAGTGTGCAAAAGGGTGACCACACTGGGGCTGGATGTGTCTGTCACCATCTCCCAAGATGCTGGCAGGTGGGCTTCCAGGCACGCAGTGGGGTTCCCTTCCAGTGAGCTGAGGCGGGGGTAGGGTTTGAACAGTCACTCTCTACCTTAGGTTTTTAGACAGGCTTTCTCTGTGTAGCCCAGGCTGGCCTGGAACTCTCTGCATAGACCAGGCTGGCCTCAGACTCAGACACCCACCTGCCTCTGCTTTCTGAATGCTGGGAATAAAGCTGTGCAACATCATGCCCAGCAAAATAAGTGTTTAGAAAATGGAGAGAAGGCTGCCAGGGTCCCCCAAATTCCTCTGACCCCTGGGCTCCCCACAACCTCCCAAATGTGCCCCTAGCACAGGGCTTTGGAGAGCTCCGCAGAGGGTGGCGTGGCCTGGGACTGATTCTGTGACCTCAGTCTGTCCTTCCCCCCTTCTCAGGTACCTATGTGACTTTACCTACTACACCTCGCTCTACCAGGGCCGTGGCCGCTCAGCCTTTGTCCACGTGCCCCCGCTGGGCAAGCCCTACAATGCCGACCAGCTAGGCCGCGCGCTACGGGCCATCATTGAGGAGATGCTAGGTGTCCTGGAGCAGGCGGAGGGGGACATCGACTGTTACCACCAGCACTGACAGCCAAGCACCCCTGGGTGCCGTGAGAAGGGACACAGCCGGGCCCAGGGAAGTCCTGACACACATCTGTCCCTCCTCCTGGCGGACCACAGGTGAATGGACGCTCTGCCTGGATAGCATCCTGTGTCTAGGGACACAGCTGCTGTGCTTGAGGCCAGGCCGGGGACTGCTGACCTGCGTGCCTGCCGGGCTGCACACTCTGCTTTTCCAGGTCTGTGAACAGGGAGTTGGAGCTTTCCCTGTGGCTGGGGTCTCGGAAGCACCATAAAGGAGTCTGGCTCTAATCCATGTCCTCAACCCTGGATGTCCCCAGCAAAGCCACCGGGGTTGGCTGCCTTTTCTCTCCTCTCTGTCTCTAATCTCTGTCCCTGCCCATCCCCTGTGTCGTTCCCCTCCTCTTCAGTGCTAGATTAGTGAACAGAGTAATTTATATTCCCATTTTTAAAACTTCAGGCTTAGCCAACAAGTGTCTTTTTTTTCTCCTGGGGCCTCTTTTGCCTCCTGCCCCCAAAAATGCCATCATACTTTGGGTCTCCATAGTGGGTCCCTTGTGCTCAGAAGAGCAGGCTGTTATGGCCACCAAGGGCCTGGCCGAAGTGGCCTCTGGTGCCTGTGGGGAGCTGACCCTGACCACCTTCTCTTGTTTTCTTTTTGATTTTTTTTTAGACTCTAAAATTTAGAGTGTTTGTTGTCATTTTTTGAGACAGGGTCTCAGGTAGCCCAGGCTGGCCATTTGAATTTATTCTGTAAGGATCTGAGCTCCTGGTCCTCCATCCTCCACCTGGGACCCCCACAGTGAACCATTACCCAGCATCTGTGCATTTTTTCCATCATGACATAGGTAGTGTCTAGTGTCCCTTGGGGACCTGGGGCCAGTGGCTGCAGCCCAGGCCTGTCCCTGCATGTTGCATCAGCCACAGGGACGTTCTGTAAGCTGTTTGGAAGTGTGCCTGGGACTCCAGCCAGCCTTTGTCTCCTACTGACTTTGAACTTCCAGGCTGAGAGGGGAGGGGCTGTCAGCAGGGGCTGGATTTGACATGTGACCTGGACTTGATCCAAAACAAAATGCAGTCCCAGCCACCGGAAGCCACATACATCTTGGCACTGCCTTCTGTTTTGTGGAGGGACAGAGGAAAGCCTCAACGTCCCCAGCTGTTTTAGATGGATCTTGACTCTGGGTGACTTCTCATCCCTGGATCTTTCTGTTGTTGGTGAGACAGGGTCTCATGTAGCCCAGGGTAGCCTCCACTGCACTGTGAAACTGAGGCTGACTTTGAACTCCTGACCCTCCTACCTCAGCCTGCCCAGTACAGGACAGATGGCATTCCTCCTGGGCCCGGCTACTTTTAAGCTCAAATGTTGGCTGTTCTGATGTGGTTTCCTCTTGCCACCGTCCTGTTGATCTGTGTTTGGGCTTTCCCTGGTGCCACTTGCGGATCTGGGTGCTGCAGGATGACTTGCTGTCCCTGCAAAAACAACTGTGGGTTTAGGCCAGCAGTTTACATAAACAGGGCTCTGCAGCCCCTGCGCTGTGCTATCACCCACCCCCATGAGGAGAGCGCCCCCAGTGTCCCAGCTGAACATGAGCATGGCTCTTCTGCCTGTGGAGGCTCAGGAGTAAGGGTCCCCCAGAGCAGGGGGGGTTTTATGCCATGGAGACCAGGCAGGTGACCTGATTCTCCTGCCTCAGCCTCCCTTGGCATGACAGAGATGCAGCGCTGTACCTGGTCTGTTCCCATGTCTTTATTTGGTTTTTGTGTTATGAGGCAGGGTCTCTCTACCTGAACTCTGTAGCTCAGGCTGGCCTTCCAGCTGTGGCAGTCCCCCTGCCGCAGATGTCATCGCCTGGCAAATTATCTTGAGGTGGACGCCAGGCTGTGCTCTTCTCTCAGATTCCTCAGATCTCAGGCAGGACCCTGGAAGGGAGTCAGGGGTGTGTAGGAAGGCTGGGGAGGGTGCAGCCACTGCAAAACACAGCTCCATCCTTCCTCACTTCACCTGTGCTAGGACCGTCACGCCCTGCTGTTCGGAGACGGGACTTACCCTCTTCACGGTGTGTGTGTGCATTTTCTAATTCCCGCTGCTGAGCTGAGGGGATCCGGGACAGGAGGCTGGGCTCTTATTTGTTTATTTAGGCACCCATTAAATAAGCCTCTGCCCTGGCCCAAAAGCTTTTGATTTTTCTCCCTTTTCTCCTTGTTTTTTGGTTAGTTGGGGGGGCCTGTAGTTGCCAGGTGTTGGCTAGACTGTCCACATTTGACTCTTAAGGACCAGGTCACCTGCGGGCCTGCTGCTCATCACCCTCTTTCTGGCCTTAGGAGAGGGGAATGGGGTGGGCAGGCCTGGGAGAGGTAGGAGGGTCCTGTGGGAGGGACTCTGGTGGGTGGGGCCTGAGGTGGGCAGGGCTGGCCCTTACTGAAGCATATAGCCAAGCAGAAAGCCAGGCCAAGGGCGACTGATGGATGAAGAGAAGTAACGTTGGCATAGGTTTGAGGCCAGGGGCACACATAGAGGCAGTGCTGGTGGTGTCTGGGGTCTTAGCCAGCCTGAGAAAGTGTCTGATCTGCACTGTCAGCTTAGGCGTGGGAAGCGGAGGCTGGATCACCACAGTGGGGCCTAGATCTTTTGAATTTATTTTATTTTGAGACAGGCTCTTGTGTAGCCCAGCCTGGCTCCATGCTCACTATGTAGTAGAAGTCTAAACTTCTGCCTCCGCATCCCTGAAACGTAAATCTCATGTTCTACTCTGCTCATGGCTGGCATGGAAACCTTCAGAAAACTGTGGACCCCTGAGGCCGAGGGAAGGCTGGAAAAGTGGATTCAAGGTGCTTTTGTGTGAGAAGTTTGGGCTGGAAGCCAGGCCAGCTGCTGTGAGCACAGGCTGCCTGTGCCCTCGCCCTGAGAGTGACCTCGCTGTGTTCGAGGGAAGAGCCTCCGCCCTGTCCCTTCCCTCCCACTGTCTAGACTGCTTTGACCTCCCTACCCCTTGGAGTGTCTGAGCCCAGAAGTCCCTCTGAGAACAGAAGAAACAAAGCCTTATTCACCATCTCAGCCCTGAGAGAAAGCACAGTCCCGTCGGGACCCCTGTGGGAGTACAGATGGCAGCCCAAATACAGACCCAGCTTGCCCCCTGCAGCCTGCCATCTCTGCACGCAGGCCGGGGGGGAGCATGTCAGGTGAAATGCCCCCCCCCAGCACAGTGTCTGGGCTGTGAGACAGGGCCTGCAGCTCCTGCCCTTTGCCTGCAGCTCAAGGGGAATGGAACCGACTCGGTGTCTGGCTCTGGAAAGCCAGATCCTGGGAGGCGTTCCTGTCATTGGTGCTTATCTGGTTTCAGGATCATGAGCCACAGCTCTGTGCTGGAACTCCCAGGCTGTAAGCATCACATCTAGCTAGGCATTGTCCAGGCACTGGAGGCAGGAGAGTCAGGAGTTCAAGGCCAGCCTCCCTGCATAGAGAGTTAGAGGCCGTACTACACAAGACTTTGTCTTAACACAAAACAAAAACCAAGACGAGAGTAAGAAGACTGGGCTGGTGCAACGGCCCAGTGGACAGTTGCTACCAAACCTAAACACTGGGCTTGATCTTCAAGAACCACAAGGTGGACAGAGAGCAGTGCCCCCCCCAAAAGCTGCCCTCTGCCCTGCACAGTCAGCACATGTGCCTATCACAAGCCTACAAAATAAAGGGGGAGTAAGCGAAGGAGAGAGCCTGCACCTACCGTCTCTACCGGAACTTCAGCACGTGAGGATGAGCAGGAGGATAGCCTTGAAGTGAGGAATACAAAGCCCCCTGGAAAACAAAAAAATTGCCCACCTGTGTGGCTGAGGGAGAGAGACAGAGGAGAAGAGAGAGGGACAGAGAGAGTGGGAGGAAGAGGGAGAGGGAGGGAGAGATAGGGAGGAAGAAGGGGAGAGGGAGGAACAGAGGGGAAGAGGGAGGGAGAAAAGGAGGAGAGTGGGAGAGGAGGGACTGGCCCCGGAAAGGCAGCTTGGTGTGGACAGCAGCTGCTTGCTCCTGTGTTCCCTCGTTGGGCAGGCAGCACCACAGGAGGCGGCTTACACAAGCTGACCCCTGCCCCAGGGGACCGGCATCTCCTGCTTTCCCCAGACACTTTGCCCTCATAGATACAGAATTAAAAGTAAAACAAATCTTGAAACATGACAGGGACAGGTGGAGACCCTGCACAGCTTCCTAAACCCTTCCCCTGCTGCGGTGGGAAGCATGTGTGTCCGCCTGCAGAAAGGAGTCATGACACTGTGTGTGTGTGTGAGCGCTGGGACATGCCTTGTCTGGGGCCTCTCAGAGCTAGGTTTGGGGGTAACTTTTTCTTTTTTTCTTTTTTTTTAGTGGTTTCACTCTGTAGTCCTTGAAGCCTCTTTGCTGGGACACCCTTTTTTTTTTCTTTTATTTTTTTAAGAAGTCTCATGCTGAGTGGCACCAGGCTTCATCCCCACGGCATGGCATGGCGTGGCCCTGTCAGGGCTGCCCAGCCACACCTTAGGAAGGGCTTCCTGTTTGGCCTGCCTGGCGTTGGGGTTATGGCTGGTTTAGGGGACCCCTCGGTACCTCAAGTGTCTTAGCCTCTTGATGGCTGTTCGGTCCTCCAAGACTCCTGTAGCACAGTGTGCCTTGTCTTTGACCCCAGAGTTCCTGCCGAGCGCCCCCACCTGGTGTCTGGGACCCTGGAAGAGAAGATCGGCCAGCCTGCTCTCTGGGAGGAGACCCCTCACTTTTTACCCAGAAGCCAATAAAGTTGTTGAAACCTGTCATTGTGTGTCCCATGTCACCTACTGGGGACTCACTCCAGGCTCAAACAGGCTGTGGCTGGTGCTGGCTTCCAACAACTGGCTGGTCATCCTCCGGCCTCAGCCTTCCGAGGTCTGGGGTCAAAGGAGTGAAGCAACCAAAGTAATTTCCTTTAGGAATAGACTGGGATGGACCCTGGCCTCACACAGGCTCACCAGGGGCCTGTTCCAAGGGTCTGGGGGTTCCAGGGTGGGAGCCAGGCCTCAGCTGCCCATCTCCCGTGGTCCTGCCCTGCGCCCACCCTGCCTGCAGTTTCTCTGGTCAGATGACAGCTGGCCTTGACAAGAAGGAAGCGATGGAATGGTGCTTGCCAAGCCAGGGCGTGTGACCCTGGCCTAGGAACACGGATTCCTGTCACCCTGACTGTCACGCACTGCAAACTTTTATCGTCACAGGAAGTCATAAACTAACACTCAGTGACCACTCCGTGGGGTCACCGGGTGTGACGGTTCCGGTGGTGGGTTTACAGGGGGTC